AGACCCTAAAACTAAAAGTTTATTTTTGATTCGCAAATAAAACTTTCAAGACGTTTACACCCTAAGAGTTTTCATTTGATTGGACTTTGTTGCTCACCCTTTGTTTGTTTGTATAAATAAGATGTTTGCACTTGGAATTTTTTTTTTTATTATTATAGGGAGTGTTCGGGTCAACTTGCAAGCATCTTAACTAATCATTCGAGACCTTAGAATTGTCGACTGAGTAAGAGTCTTAGTGACCATTCCTATTAGTGTCTAGAGAAACTGAAATTCAAGAGCTCATAAAACCTCATTTTATTCTTTTACTATCAAGTCACCCAATGGTGGTTAAAAAATTTATACCTGAAATTTTGCTTCCTCTTTCTTTCCACCCCGCATCTGTAAAATTCAATATTAATGATTTAATAATGTGCAAATTATAGTAAGCAAATCTTACCGTTGATTTCATAGTTGATCTCTGAGGTACGAGATTCTAAAATATTTAACATGTGGATCAAGGTGATTTTTTTTGACCTGGACTTGAGGTTTACAAAAATATTAGTATAACTCCTCAGTGTGATCGATAGAAAACTTTGGTAATCCTGAAATGTTAAAAAATAAACATATAATAAATTAGTAAAATGTGTGCCTTTTATAAATAAAATTTGTGGAAGTTTGACATTGCTAAATGATTCAAGGTGTGAAAAGGGTTTAGTATGAGAACAATTATTGTTAAAATGAAGTGTAAATGTCAACCAATTTAAATGGTTTTTAGTCAGACAATGATTTGATAATAAAAAGGGATGTATAATACAATTAGTTTAATATGTTGTTCAGTAAGGTGACAAACATTTTGCAACATTTTTTATATCTGCCATCAACAACCCATAAATTATAGCTACTCAAAATTTATTATCTCTTCCATCTCAACTATTGATTGCTTTTACTCTCATTTCTTATTATTTGATATACAAATATCTGAAATGAAAAAAAAAAAAAAAATTTGAATGAGATGAACATACTATATTATTCATTATTGTATTTAATTAAATCATATGATATGACATGATTTTATGCAAATATACTGGTCCCGTCCCAAGTCTGTATTTATAGTTTCAAATTAACTTAGATATTGATCATATTATTAACTAATTTGGACGGTGATATATATATCTAAATTAGTCTTTGATTAAGCAGTGATTCAGCATCTTCTAAACCGAATTTTTCAAAAGACCAAGTCCCTTGCTCTGACTTATGTAGCAATTGAAGAGAAATGGATGTAAACTGTAAAGCCATGTATTAATCATGGCTATATTTTATTATATCAAAGTAATTAAATAATTGATTCGTGTGAAACCAAGCAGGCTATTAAATTAATTAAAATTTTCGACTGTATATAGGCCATTAAGCAAACTATAATGTCGGCTCGTTTGAACATTTTTTATTTATTCAATAACCTTTGAAAATGAGTTTTTCATTTTGTAAACAAAGTAACCAAGTCAAAAAGTTTCGGCAATTTATTTTAAATATTATATTATAAAATCACGTATGGAAAGAATCTTGCAAAGGTCATTTGATTTATAATTCAAAATTTTGAAAATTAATTAAGATAGAATTAAATGAAGTTCATTTAAGAGAAGAAAAAGAAACAAGGTTATAGGGTTGACAAAGGTCAAAATTATCTTCTGCATGTGTTGTAGAAGGTTGAACAAGGCACAAGGACAGCGAAGCAACAAGCATTAAATTTCAATAACTTATAACATAAAATATAAACATAAATATTGTTGAAAAATTAAAACAAGATTGTGACATAAATTTTTATTTACTGCATAAATAATGGATGTAACTATCAACAACTGTTCTAGATTTTGATATTTCTTAAATTCTTACTCTCAAAATGTCGAGTCTCTGGACCACTATATGTATATATATATATATGTGTGAATCGCAAAGAGTATCTATATTAGTGTCAGCAATGACATTAGTTTTTGTTTTTATTTAAGTCGTATTTAATATACATGGGCCATCCATGTTTAATTTTACTATTAATACAATTAATTATTTATAATTTTTAAGTAAAATAATTAAACATGAAAATATTGTGGAAGTAAATTGTAAATATATGAGTGTTGATGGATGGGATTAGTTTAGGTCTTATCTGGTCTGGTCTGCCATGTTTAGCAGACTTTATTTTTATTTATTAATGCCATTTTTAGCTTTATCTCTCTATCAAAATTCAAACGGCAATAATGCAATGTATTGAGACCAAATGTGGATATAGATTGATCTATTACTTGCTAAACTTGTCCAGAATCACATGGTTTTAAGTGTCATTATCAACATACAGATATATATCATCTATTGAATTGAGAAAGAAATATGTATATAAAACCTGCATGATGACTAAACACTTGACTTTCAATTTAAGCTTATGGACTCCTTTTTTTTTTTCCCTCTATAATCATTTCTTCACAATAAGAGATTGAAGGCCATGTTTCACAAGTTAAATAAATTTATTATTAAGATCAATTACTAGAGAAAGACTTAATTCACCTTGAGTTTTTGATCTAATAGTCAAAATCCTGATATTTCAAATACCAGGAAATATCCGCCCTCAAACTAACAACCGTTGATTAAATTTAATTTTGAAACAATATATTTTATGTTTTACCATTATGTATATAAGTGAATCACATGTTCAATTCTTATGTGCGTCAATTTATGTTAAAATCAAAGAGGGTCTATCCTATAGGATTTGGATAATAGACCACAACCCTAGGAAGGTAAATCAATTATTTCGTTCAACTATTGAATTGCAATGTAAATTAATTTCAATTTCATCCTATAGATATGAAATTCAAATAAATAGTGTAAATGAAATAAAGTTCTAATAAAAAACAGTGAGACAATACCTAGATAGGTAACTAATTTAATTTAATTACACTTGACTCGAAGGAAGCCAATTAGAACACGCAGGCTCCACCACATCTCCCCTAATTGGACTCCTATTCAAAGGTGATGTGCTGATAAACATTATAAATATATCATTAATTCTTTATTATTTAAAACCATTAATTTCTTTATTATAAAGTTTGACAAAATAGGTTGATAGTGAAAGAGTAAATAAGGATATAAGTTTATATAATCTCTCGAGTTCAAGTCTTTACAGTTGTTAATAGAAGTAATTACTAGAGTTTTTATCCAATAAGTAGTTTTAGGATCCCAAAAAAAATCCTAAAAAATTAATTGAGGTACATATAAACTGACTTGGGAGATGAATACCAACAAAGATGTCTAATTAGGAATAAATTGTTTTTCAATTTCAGTATTATTTGACAAACGTCCAATAAGGGCCTTTAATTATCTTGTCTTGAGCTGTGAAGCACACAATGTTTTCAAATCAACTATATACATCAAGTCGCATTTATAATAGTTTAGAAAATATAATCTGCAAATTAATGAATCTGACATAAATGGAATCAAATCAAGTTTAAAATTTTTTCTTGCAGCTGGCCGAAAATTCCAAAGGTTCCTTAACTGGAATTAAATTTGTGTTTGAAAATGGGAAGTTTGGTGAAAGGAATTGGAAAATTAAGCTATTTCTTTTTGACAATTTGGTAATATAATATTTTTTGGTCTATACAATAATTAACGACCCCATTATATTAAGAAATTCAAAGTTGGTAATAGTTCCATTTGTAGTCGACCAAAGAAGGAACAAATTACATCAAATCTTCCATTAAGAAGGATTTTTAGCAATAATTTTATTATTAATTACTTAATTATGGTTAAAATATTTTTTTTAGCAAACAATAGTAGTAAGAATTTTTTTTTTTTTTAAGTAACTAACAATTCTTTTTAAAAAAATTAGGAAATTCTGGAAATATTTTTCTGGAAAAAGAAATTATATTCAATAAAATGCACCATTAAACATAACGAGTAATTCTCTACTTAGGACATCAATTCTCGCGTTAATTGTATTTAGACCATGCTTAAACATGATTGGATACTTATATGTAAAATATTATTTTAGTTGAATAAGTGAATCCAACTATATTAAATTATCTGACAGAATTAATATTAATACGTCTTACTAAAAAATTACCATAAATATAATTACAAATTACAAATGTTTGGTGGGGGGAGAAATTATAAGTTGCTTGTCAGTTGTGTCCTTTTTTTTTTTTTTTTGGTAATCAGGGTGTTAAACACCACGTACTCAAAAGCCCAAAGAGCCAGTTAGGTCACAAATTGGTAAGTGACCTCAAGATTGAATAAATACTCATGAAGAAGAACCTTCTTGACACGGACTAACCCTTTGGGGTTAGGTTGTTCTTCTCATCAAATAAATTTTGCCATAAATTCACGGATTGATCAAATATTAATTTGTCATCCCATTCCATAGTATATCAAATAAGAGTTGGTCTCATATTGATCCAGTCCCAGTAATGCTACCAAGTCAGTCTGTATCTCAAAATAAATAAATAAAATGGAAACCCTCTTAAAATAAAAGAAGAGTAATACTAGCCTTACAAAGAGGTATACAAAGACTCATACAAAGAGTGAAATCCAGTCCTTGAAAGAAGGGAAAAAGAGAGAGAAAAAGAGGCAATCATGAATTTCAAGGACTGAATTTGACTATTTGTATGGTTCTTTGTATGCCTCTTTGTAAGACTAGTATTACTCGTCAAAGAAAACGCTGGAGAGTTCACCAAAATAAATGTCTCTGCAGAAGTACGTATAAAATATGCAAAGACAAGTAGTCGTATTTAATTAATTAATTGGAGTATGATAACTTGGAAAAATGAAAATGGGAATACAATTAACATCACTTTCAAATGCAGATTAATTTATCTCATTGCTTGAGGAGATGGGATTCTTTTGGCTTAATTTTGTTAGAATCCAGATAGAAAAAGTAAGGTCCCTGTTAGCTAGCTTGCTGATAAAATATAATATTGTTATGTTGGAAAGTTCTCTACACCCTAATATTCAAATTATATATACAACAGATGTGATTGAAATTTGAAGAAGCCTGTTCTTTGACTTGTATTATATTTCCTCTTTATTATATATTTCCCCACTGTCCAAACACCAAGTTTTCTCTGCTTCCTCAGACACAATAATATACAACCCATCCAAGTCTTTTCTGGAAGAAACTCATCTCTCCTTGCTTTCTCAGCGAAAATATCTAAGATCATGGGTAGAGCTCCTTGTTGTGACAAAGCGAATGTGAAGAAAGGGCCATGGTCGCCTGAAGAAGATGCCAAGTTGAAGGAGTATATAGAGAAACATGGCACTGGAGGCAACTGGATTTCTCTCCCACAGAAAGCTGGTAAATATAAACATCCTGAGCAGATTATTAGGGTTGCTTTCTGGGTTGATCTCTGAGTTTTGTCTGCGTTAATGATCTGCAGGTCTAAAGAGATGTGGGAAAAGTTGCAGGTTGAGATGGCTGAACTATCTCAGACCCAACATCAAGCATGGAGAATTCTCTGATGATGAAGATAGGATAATTTACACTCTCTTTTTTAACATTGGGAGCAGGTATTTATACTATTTATCATCCATCATCTTTCTTTACTTAAAATTTTTTCCTCTTCTTTCTCTTACAAAAACAAGATTTGTCTCTCTTTACAGAAATTGATCTGAAAGTTGTATTTTTTATGGTGTACTATATCTGTCTCCTTCTTTTCTTTTCTTTTCCTTCTTGAGTGGGAACAAGAAGTTAATCATTTTAGAATTTTTTTTTGTCATCATGATGATGCTTCTGCAACTTTTCATGCATGAGACTAGTTTAGATTTTTGTTAGATTTCCTCTTATGGAACTCCTTCTTCACATGAAATTACAGGTGGTCAATAATTGCAGCTCAGTTGCCTGGGAGGACTGATAATGATATAAAGAACTACTGGAACACCAAGCTGAAGAAGAAGCTCATGAGCATGGCTAATCAGTCTCAAAGAAAGTTACTTCATCACCAAGCTGCAACCTTTTCATCTCTTCTTCAAACATCTTCATCACCATCAACATCTCCATCGCCTCAACTTTCATCACCATCATCAACAATATCGTACACCAACAACAACACTTATTACACCACCCAGGCCACAACTTTCAGTTCTCTTGATCCACCAAATTCATTCTCAAACACTCAATTGGGCAACAATTCTTGCATCACTGCCGGCTCAAACATCCTCCAGGTCCCCCAAGAGAGTACTTTGTTGAGTCCTATCCAGCATTATCAAGTGAAAGATAGTGGCTTGATGTTTGGAGGCGATCAAGCAGCCACCAGTTGCAGCCCCTCAGATGCCACCAAAGAATTAGATTATGATTATGGCGGAAGAGGGAACGGTAACACCGATCAAATGGGTCTGCAGAATTGTTTTTATATCTCAGATGGTGGTGGTTGTGGTTATAGTACTCATGAGCAAAAGCCAAATGTTAATGGGGGTTGGGATGAAACGCCATTATTGGACTATGGATTTGAGGAGATTAAGCAGCTGATTAGTACTAGTAGTTGTAACAATAATAGCATTTTGTTTGATGAAAAAAAGACAGAAGAAAAAGTTATGTACTACTGATGAATGATGATGATGATGCTGACTGTGAGTAAAATCACGAAGATTGTTGAATTTAAGTTTCAGATTTAGACTCAGTTTGTATGTATGACTTTGGTGTTTTCAATGCAATCAACTTATATTATTTTCTTTTTTTTCTGACAGTAAATGGTAAAAAGAAAATGGTTTCATTTTGTGCATTTCTACTTGGAAAATGATGTACGAATTTGCTAGTACAGATTGAACTGCAAAACAATCAGATTTAAAATTTCAAGAACCAAAAAATTAAACCTTGAAAGCCAAGCATGCACTTTTTCATTAATTTCTAAATGATGTTTGAGTAATTGTTTATTGTATTCCCATTAATCAATTTTGAATCTGGTTAAGCTGCCCAAGGAGGGATCTTTGTGTGGATATTATCATACACAGGAATATTAAAATGGGTTGATGTTAATCCTAATCTCAGTCTTCTTAAAAAATTGTATAAATTAATTAAAATATGAACTCCATCAGGTCATATAATATAATGCGAGCTTATAGAAGTGAAGGTATTAGGGTTCATTGGGTGTATTTCTTTGTACAATAATCTTGAGCTACACGTAACATGAGATTATTTCCATGACTTTGATTTGATTAGAACATAGTTATGGTTTAATTTAGACTAACAGGGGATACCCTTAATTTAGACTGCAATAACAAGGCGCTTGACTGTTGATCGATACAATTCAATTATTGATAACCCTTTGATTAGGACTTGTGGGGTATATAGAGAGACAAGAAAATTGCTTAGAGAAAATGTTTATTAATTAATTAATTAATTAACATAATAAACAAATCCAACTAGGGGAACAAAAAAGATTTAAAAAAGAAAACAAGATGAAGTCATTATAAATACAATTATATTAATAAGAATGCAAAGTGAGAGAGAATCCTCATAGGGAAGCAGTCCAAAAACCTCCAAAATTATATGATCTCAGGATAATGATGCCTTGGTCATATCATTGGTTGATGGGTTTTTGCTGTTGTGTTTAGACAAATTAAACAAAGAAATTAAAATAATTAATTTTTTCCAAGAAGAACAGTAATGCATTGACCTCTTCACCAATTTGTTTGTTTCTTCTACAGTAGGTTCAATTTGAAATTTGATTAATGGGGTTTGCCAGCTATAGGCATTATTTAAGAATCCTAATCGAATTTGTCTTAAAGCTCAGTGGGAAATGTTTTCTAGGAATGTCTTTTCTTGCGAACTGCAAAAGGTCAAAAGGTGGCAGCTCCTTCTGAAACCGTGAATTTTTTTTTTAACCATTTTCAATTTTGGATATTTGTTTCAAGGCCACCATCATCTTATTAAACAGCTCCCCATCAACACTTTAAACCATTAAATTAGTCACTAATCTAATAGTTTTGAATAACTCGATAATATTAGGATTATCACTTCTTGGTGTGTGTCCAAGGGGGGCATGACTGATTTCCACAAAATTAATTACATCCTCCACTGAAGCATCCATAGTATAAAATTCAGAATGATAAACAAAGATATTGAATGTTTTATCAATGGTATCACCACAGAAAAAAATGTCTTCTACTAACAAGTCAGATCTTATTGTTAGAATTTTTATCAGAAAACTCTATTACATTGGTGCAATAAAGTGTCAACACTCACGTTGGATAAGAAATTGGTACTCTATGTCGTATAAACGTACAATAAATATCTCACAACATAATTTTGGTGTTAAAGGAGACTGGGAACTTCTAGTAGTGAATTAAATCATTAATGGCTTGTTTAGTGTCCTAATACGAAAAATTAAGGCTTGATCCTCGAATTCAGAATTCAATAAATAAATTAAAAAAAAATGTTAAATACAATAAAATAATTATTAATTTCAAAGCATACACAGAAAGAAAAGATGAACAATGCCAACTTAAGTTGGACTTCCGGTTTCTTTCTATTGGGGATTTCTTCAGTTTAACGAGTGCCGGTCAACTTGAAATTGTCATAGCACATAGATTTTATAAAGATATGGTATTGGTTATATAAACTATAGGAACGCAAGGAAGAAGATGATTGGTGAAATTACAAATTCAAACTTGGCTTTTCTTCGCACAAATGTCATGTTGCAGGAATCTCACATATTATATGTTTAATTACCAAGGTTTTAAAGTTTATAGAAAAGATTGAGTCACTTCATCTCATTTCATTGGTTAAATTTTTTTCAACTAGATACGCGGATGTAATAAAATCAAAAGGCAAGCTTCGCATAAAGGTTTCATCGAGAAAAATAATCTAAAAACATTGGACGGTGGAGCAATAACAATAATAATAGCATATATTATCTCGCAAAAAAAAAAAAAAAAAAAACCTAAATTCATTCTTAATTGATACCTCCAGTAATTGTTTTGTTAATTAGTGTAAGTCGTTGCCAAAAAAGTTATATTTAACCGTTTTCCACTGATGACAAGTTTTGATAAAGACCCCAGTTTTGAACTCAGGCTTGCATGATGATTCTTGAAAATGGTTTTGAGTTTTACGTGAAAAAGTTTGCTATGTTTTGTGCACACCTTTGACTAAAAATGGATTCATTTCTTCTTCATTTTTCGGTTTTTATAACAGTGATTTGAATACTATTAATTTGGCTGTTGAATCCACTATTTTGGGTTTTTATAATAGTGATTTGAATGCCATTAATACAGCAGTTGAATTTTACTTGAAAATCAAAAAGAATAATAAAGTTAGGAAATAAAAATCCTCCAAGTCAATTTCTTAGGCCTTAGCAATGATTTCTCCAGAAGCATATATATATATATATAATTTGCAGATGATGTTCATGCATACGCGCAGATGCATGCATGTTATTGATTTGTTCTTCCTCTAAACATTTGTAATAAAAAGCCGCCATTGAATTAAGTTTTTTACCCCAATATCAATAATACACGTAGTCCAAAGGAAAAATGGTAGCTCAGAAGCCTAACTTTTACCAGTTACTGCAAATTAATTAATGCCTAGAGAACAACTCAGTCAGACGAGAAAATTGAATCAAAGTATTCGAGAGCATATTTTAACCATTTCTCTATGGGCTACTGTGACCTAGTTTAATTATTTAGTACTTTGATCTTCAAGCCTCTAAGAAGTTCAATTATCTCAAGTGTACATATTCATGGAATCCAAATCCGTTTCTACCACTTCAATTATATAAAATTAATGAGTTTTTGGTCGACTAAAGAAACTAGAAAAATGTTATCCTTACAAAGACAATACAAAGAGAGCTACAAAGTGACATTACTAGGAAGGAAAAAACAAAGAAAAAACGGAAAAAGAGGGAGAGAGAGAGAGAGAGAAATCATGAAGATGAAGGGTGGAAATTGTCTTTGTATGGCCTCTTTGTTTTTGTCTTTGTAAGAGTAGTATTGCTCAAGAAACTATGACAGTTTTGGGATAATTTTATTGAACTCTCTCATGATCAATTTATAATTTTTCATTTCATCATAAAATCTTTGGGATTTTAAATAGTAATAAATAAATAAAAAAAAAAAAAAAACCTTCCTTCAGAGTGACAGAAGAAGAGAGATTTTGGTAATGATGTTAAGCAGATATATCGACATTGACAGAGTTCATATGATTAATGTGATATGATAAAAAAGCAATGGGTGCTAATTGAGAAGCACTGTTATGTTTCTTAGTTTGATGGTTGGATTTGTCACGAAATCTACTTATAACTCCATATTCCTTGGAGCAACTCAACACTACACTTGATGATCAAAGATGTCTATCTTGCAGACACAGCTCTTGTTTTTTTAATTGAGTAATCTTTTGATTTTGTTTTGCGAACCTAAGTTCGAAACTGGAGTCCTGTTGAACTCTATAATTTTTGGACAGTAGAAAACAATGACTATACAGGTACTCATGAGAGGGAACTCGAACTGTCGTGGGGACAAACCCAATGTTTAGCTCTTGTAGTAAAGAAGAAACTCTATTAAAAACCTGACCTGCTGGCTTAGGAATTTGTCTGGAAAGGTGAATTGTAGACTTATTGTGCAGATATCTATACCACTAAATCTGCCCAACTCCTTATTGTTGTATAGTCACATGATGACATTTTAGGGCCTCTTCATTATTTGGATGGATCTATTCTTAATTGGGTTTCTATCAGATCAAACGCTGAGTTCTCATTTTTTATTTTTATTTTTATGACTGTTACATGAATTATATGAAAGAACAAATGCTGGAAACTTGAAGGGTGAGATGGATGATAATTTTCGAGGCTTACTCAAAAACAAGTGCCTCTCAATGATAAGAAAAAGTTCTGCCTAAATGAACTGGAAAGTGGAAACCACATAAGTTTAATAAAACAAAAGTATGGAGCAAGAAAATGAAGTTCAAGGAGAGGCTTAGAAACATAATCTCTGTTCTGGAAGAAAACATGACTTACCCACAACATGAAATTATCCTCACCAATCATTAGGATCAAGCTACTATGAGTTCTATTCTGGTCCATAGTAGTAACTATACAGATTAAGACCTTCCCATTAAAGTTGCAAAGTTGAAAACATATTTCTTTACTCCATTTTAGTGCCCCATACGAAGCACAGTGCATTGTAGTGATCAGTGAGAGCTTCCTAATAACATATCACAAAGTTCTAAACAATCTTAAGTAGAATAGAAGATAAGAATTTTATACATTGAATTGGAGTACCACAGTTTATGTACAGAATGCACAGATGATGATCATCATCAAGAGAATTTGACAAATTATTTACAAAAAATCCCATTGCCAATAAATTTTCTCTACAATCCCTCCCCCACTCTGAACAGCCAAGTGAAGTGTTTCAGAAGCAGGAGGAACACCCCACAGGTATGGCACTGCAACTGTCATGGTTAACTTTTCATGCAAACCACCTTTGCTTGCCTTCTCTGCAGCCACAATCTAAACATAGAAGATATGCATGTTTTAATACTATGGTAATTCCGAACGAGCTCAACTTTAAAACATCATACATACTATAAAATCATGTCAATGTAAAATACATTAAAAGGCAACATTATTGTCGATCATGTAAAAGAAACATTTGAAAAGGTGGAGATGATCAAATGATCAAAAGTGTTGAAACAGAACCAGAGGTTGTCATTAACACGGATGCAATTTTCCATTCACCTCTAAAATAGCCTACCCATGATACCTTGAATAAAAGATGCAGCCACTTGAGAAAATCAGAAAATCAGCTTCAATAGTGTTCCATACTCATAACTGACTTGTAGAGCCACTCAGTTTTATACCAAAATGGTGCCTTAAAGCAACAAGAGTAAACCAAGTTGGTTATGCATAATATAGCAGTCAGCAGGATTAAACTCAGACTTGTCCACTTCCAGAATTCTCAAACAAGAAAAGAAATCGAAACTAATGAGAACATACAAGATGCCTAGATATAAGACTATTATTCAATTCAACTGAATTATTCAGTTCAATTGAATAATAGCCAATAACAAATTGGGACATGCAGTTAAAGCACAAGGAGTAAAACCAGTGATCAAACAAGAAAAAACAAGGTCAGATCCAGCTACCAATACCAAAAGTCTAGTCCGCCTCTCAGAATATCAATGGAATTTTCCTTTGCCGACGGGAAAACTGATCCAAGTATACCATCCAAACTAGGATTGTTAAGATTAAATTAGAATCCCATGATCTCTGACAAAAATAAAACCGTCACATACATGTACTGATAACTCAGAGCCGAACCTAAAGGAATTAACCAGCGACAACCATATACACAGTGAGGCCGCTGTTGGAATAGTAACTATGAGATGATCTCATTTTTGGAACAAGAAACTGAGAGTAGCTCTATTGTTCTGTTTAATTTTTTAAAACAACCAGAGCAGACAAACAACAGCCATAAACAAGCATGGTACTGCATTGCTACTATGAAGTTCAATTAAAACAAGACGGCATACCTCCCCACCATGCTCCAAAACTGTATCTTCCACAACATCACTTAGCATTTCAATGGAACGGCAAAAACCAAAGATACAAAGCCTTCGGCCCATATCAAGACCCTACCATGATCAAAACAAAATGCATAAGACAGAAGGCTTATAATCACAATTTGCAAAAGTTGGCTTTAATTAGCAGCATAAAAATAGCTCACATTTGTTGCTGCAATATCAAAGAGAGCACCTAGGCATAGACTCTGGTTCGGATCCATGTAATCACTCTCTTGAAAACGCTGAAATTTTTGGGAGGCTTTTGATCTCCCCTGATTCTTCTGGTAAAAAATGGAAATCTTTTTAGCCAGTTAACAATCTAGATATTAAGCATTGCGCGAATCTAGAATGCAATTTCTAAAGTATTAAACAATTCACACAGAACCCAAATACTTTTTTCCACTTGAAATGAAAACAAAAACAAAAAGGGCTGGAGATTTTAGTTTTGATTGCAACTGCTCGATATGTAAGCCTATTCTATTTGGAAAACAAACACAATTGTTTCTGAAATAAGGAAATCAAATCTCTTTAAAAAAAAACATAGCATATTGCCAAAACAGTTTTTGGATATCCTAAAATTACTTAATTTCTTAATTCATACAACATTTCGAACCAAATTAATACAAAAAAAAGTTGATCTTGTCAAAAAATAGAATTAATATTGAAAAGATAGAAATAGCGTACATCAGAAGTAGTAACACGTCGAGGGACCATTGAGCCTCCAATCTGAATGAGCCCATCAGCAGTAAACAGCGTTACTCTCTCCTCTTGAATCCATTGAATTCCTGCAACAAATTAAACCCATAAATTTCACAAATCCCCCCAATAAAAACAATAAACCACCCAAATCAAAGATACACTACCGCTGTGACCGTCAGCCCAAGGGAAGAAATTAAAAGAATCATCACCGAGGAAGCCGGAAGAAGAATCAGAAGAAGCTTTGGGGGCCATGAATCGAAGAAAGCGAGAAGGGGGTCGAGAAAGAAAAGACGTGGAAAGGAAGGAAATGGGTTCCATTCTTCGACAGCGAGAAACGGAAGGAAGTGAAGAGAAAGAAGAGAAACACAGAGCAGACGCCTCAGCCATCATTACAAAAGAATTGAATTGAATTGGAAATGGAAAGGAGGGGGAAGGGAGGGAAAGAAAGAAAAAGAAGGAAGGAAAGGGAAAGGAGAGAGTTTTGACGCCACATGTGGAGGATTGACACGTTCCACTACAGGACATTTTTATTACGTCGAACCAGACACAAATACTTGGTTCTTGGAATTTCAGTAAAATAATGTTTAAGAATGAATAAATAATATTTAATTTTTTGGATTCTGAAAATGAAGTAATAAACTAATTGAAATTGCATTTTTTGGTTGCTTTCCAAGTGTGGATAGAGTGGAATATTCAGTTTCACATGAACAAATGTGTGAAATATCTTTCTTAATTTAATTTATAAATATTTTAGGTGAAACTTGGTTGAATATAAAACACTTGAAAAGAAAAAAGAAGAAAAATATAGAGATAGAAAGTAGTATGGGCAGTGTTGTATTTTTTAATAGATACTTCAAAATATATTGTATTATGATAATTTTATTGTAAATTTAATAAGTGTTTTATTTAATTATTTCAATCAAAGTTTTATTTTATTTAATAATTTGGGAGTTTCATTTGATTTATGGTCGCTTTTACGACAACAACTAATAAGAGGTGAGAAACCTATAGTATTTAGACTTAGAGAGATTACTCTAAAGTGTTGCATTTAAAAAATTATATATCATCAATATGGAAGATAAATTCTTTTATTACACTTAATAGAATCTATACTTGGGAATACACTCTTATACAAATAATAAGTTATTGTATCTTAAATATTGGATCGCCTCTATTTTGAGCCTGTTTTGCACTAGAAAGTCAATATATCCTAAGGGTTAAACCCCTACTATTTTGTACTAAAAATTAGACCGCTACTATTTTGCACCAAAATATTGTCTTAAGGGGTGGAATGTGCGATTAAAGATAATACATTTTAAGAATATCTTGACTTTGTTTACTATGAAATTGATGGGATCAAATTTTTAAATATCTCCAACAGCTATAATAAATGTATTGAGTTGTAAGAAAACAAACTGTTTTGGTAAGATGTAATTAATTGACAAGTACTTATTTTAGCCGCCCACCACATGATAATATATCATATCCCTTTCAAGAGATTAATATTTTATTATCATGTGCTTTCCTCTCCTGCATATGGATTTTAAGATTCTAGCATTTTGGGTCACGAGGAATTAAACCTAATTTTTGGAAAAAGCACAAAGATTTAACGAATTATAAAAAAAAAAAATGAAGACATTTATAATTCTGAAGGATAAACCATTACTATTTTGAGCTTGTTTTGCACCAAGATATTGTCCTAAAAGGGGCGGAATTTATCCTAAAGAACAAGTGTTTCAATATGCCTTAACTTTGCTTGATGTGGAATTAACGGGATCAAATTCAAGGCTTAACGAATTATAAGTCCGCTTGCTCTAAGAAGCTATGAAATAGCAAATGAAAGTAAGTGGCTGTTACGTGCACTAGAAACTGACCTGGTTACAGGACCTGGAGCTTGGGATTGATTAATGGTGGGGTTAGGTTGGGGTTTTTTCTTGGTCTTCCCTATTGTGGTGGAGTAGAATTTAATCAGGAAAAGTTGGAAGAGAAAGAATATAACGATGAAAGGTTTGCTTCGATGGAAACCTTGAGCCTTCAAAAACAGATACAATTTCCAGAAAAAAGATGATGTTTATTTCTTAAAATTTGCTTACATTTATAGGAAAATTTAATAACTATCTTCCCGAAATCTCTCAACAAAATCGCAAAAAATCTCCGGCAAAGACTTATTCAAATTCCTACAAATCAGTATGAATCTAAGACTTATTCAAATTCAACACGTAACATTCCTCCCTCCTAGAGAACACCCTTGTCCTCAAGGGTTAGTTCAAGAAATCTCAACTTGAGCTCATGATAATCTTCCCAAGTAGCAACAGCAGGTGATAACCCCTGCCAATGAACCAGCACTTCTTCTCGATGTCTTTTCTTTCGACGATCTAACATGGCTTGAGGCAACAGACTGATTATGACACCTCTTTCGATAACAACTGGTTAAGTGTCATGGATTCCTGCATTTGTTCCCAACTTCTCTTTGAGCACAGACATATGAAACACTGGGTTAAGCTTTGAACCTTCTGGCAGCCTTAACTTGTATGCAATTGGTCCAAACCTTTCAATGATCTCAAATGGCCCATAATACTTGGGAGACAGATTGAGACTTTTTTCGAAGAGCTACCGATGCTTGTCGATAAGGTTGCAATTTAAGATAAAATCTCCAACGTTGAAACTTTTATTAGTTCTCCCAACATCATAATACTTCTTCATTCGCTCTTGTGCCTTAATAAGTTGCTCACGTAGCTCTTTGATAACTTGGTCCCTGTCTTGAAGTTCTTGGTTTACAGCTTCTACAAGCGAAGTACCAGGAACATAAGATAAAAGTGTGGGAGGAGGCTTCTCATACACAACTTCATATAGAGTCTTCTTTGTAGAAGAATGGATGCTGATATTGTAACAATACTCAGCCCAAGAGATCCACTATACCCATTCACCCGGCCTGTGACTTGTAAAGCAATGAAGATACCTCTCAACAGTTTTATTGACAACTTCGGTTTGACCATATGTTTGGGGATGGTAAGAAGAACTGAAATTGAAGTTGGTCCCATGCAATATAAAGATTTCTCTCCAAAAGGCACTAGTGAATGTAGCATCTCTGTCACATACAAAACTCTTTGGCATCCCATACAATTTGAAAACCGGATCAAAAAATACTTGTGCTAGAGAAGCAGCAGTGTATGGGTGTGAAATAGGAATGAAGTGTGAGTATTTGGAGAGTCTGTCCACAATAACAAAAATAACAGATTTTCCTTTAGACTTGGGAAGTCCTTTAACAAAATCCATCGAAATATCTGTCCACACTTGAGTAGGAATTGGCAATGGATGCAAAAGCCCTGCTGGTTGGAGACTTAAACCCTTGTTTTGCTGACATGTGTTGAAATTCTTAATGAACTCAAGAATAGTCTTTCTCATGCCTGACCAATAGAAGGCATATCTTATTCTTTGCAGGGTCTTGTGGTACCCTTCATGAGTCTTTGAATGCATCTCTGTGACAATTAGAGGATATAAAGAGGATGAAAGAACAACATGCATGAAGAGTGGCGGAAATGAAGATTGAAAGCATGAAAGATTGGATGCATAGGACTCAAAAATTTCAAACAAAGTGTAAGAAACTTATACCTTCTCCTTTTCTTAAGGTTGATGAAGCCAAGACTCAAAGAGATGAGGCCTCCACACTTTAACACCACCTTGAGAGAGTAAGAGAGTGGCCTTGCCTTAGAGAGAGAGATTTTAGTTTGCTTTTGAGTGAACAAAGTGAATCATGAGCTAAAATGCAACCATTTGCATTTATATATACATGAGTCATTTTGTAATTAGTTGTTTTTTATTTTTATGCCCCAACAAAATCTTATTCTAAAAGGAGCCCACGAATTTATTATTTTGCCCTTTGAATAATCAATATTATTCAAGAGCCCATGTAAACTAAACTAGTTTACATTAACAACCCATAAAATTACCCTTTTGCCCTTTAACTATTAAAAAATTATTTTCGTTCATCTCATTAATCTTAACGCTTTAAGATATAATAATTAAATATAATTAATTATTGCTTGACCATTTTAACCCTTAAAATGTCATAAACAATTTTCTATGTAACTATTACCATAGAAATCCTGTCATTACCCTCGGAAGGTGCTAGCCCTCTTCGGATAGTCATTTATCTCTCTTATCCTTCTCTAACTTCTCAAGGCTATTGGTGTGACCATGTAGGTCCATTGTGGATTAGCCGTGAGCCGGTTCTGGATAATTGCATTTTTCTTTTTTTACAAACAAATTGTGGTTTCTCAAAATATTCAAAGCAACCTCAAGATGATTCATGTGTTCCTTCCATGAAATACTATAAATTAAAATATCATCAAAAAATACCAAGATGAACTTATAGAGATATGCTTTGAATACTTCATTCATCAAATATTGAAATATGGAAGGAGCATTTGTAAGGCCAAAGGGCACCATGAACTCGTAATGGTCTTCATGTGTCCGAAATGTTGTCTTTGATATGTCTGAAGCGTGCATTCTGATACGGTGATATCCAGATCGTAAATCCAGCTTAGTGAAGAACTTGGCTCCATGGAGTTCATCCAGTAGCTTGTCAATGACTAGTATTGGAAATTTTTCCTCAATTGTTATCTGATTCAATGCTCTATAATCAACGCAAAGCCTTCAAGACCCATCATGTTTTTTAACCAATAGTACTGGTGGAGAGTATGGACTCTAACTTGGCCGAACCACTCCTGATTTAAGCATGTCAACTACTATTTTCTTGATCTCATTTTTTTGATAATGGGCATATTTGTAAGGCCTTACAGAAACTGGTTCACTTCCCGGCTTCAAAGGAATCTGATGATCATGGCATCTTGGAAGAGGTAGTCCATGAATATATCTCCGTAGGCTTGTAAGAGTTGCTCCAGTTTTTCATTAGAGGAAATCAAATCAATTTGAGAAGCTGGTTTACCTTTTGAGATATTGGCTGTAAGGGAGTAAATCTGTAGCAAAACTCCTTCCTTCTTCTTCTGTAGTTCTTTAAATATCTATGATGCATCAACAACTTTATCCACTGGAGTTGCCAAACCTTTTAGAATAATCTCTTTCCCATTAAGATTAAATTGCATTTGTAATTTAGGGAAGTCCCGTACAATGGGTCCTAACATTCTCAGCCATTGTGCCCCTAAAACAACATCACAACCGACCAAAAGGAGTAAATAAAAATCACCAGTAATCAAGTTACCTTGAATGGTTACACATACTCCTTTGCATAGACCAGAACTTGGAAGTTTTTCTCTATTAGCCACTGCAACTTCAAACTTCCCTTCAGCGTTAGGATGGATCCCCAATCTTATAGCTATTTTGTTGTTCAAGAAGTTATAGGTACATCTTGAATCTACCAAGATTATAATTCTGCACCGCGCTAATCGAGCATGGACCTTCATGGTTTGCAGTGCTGCTGCTCCATAAATGGCGTGGATAGAAACTTCTGGGGTATTCACCTCTTCCACTTCCATGTCCACA